TGATTTCAAAGTTGAGGTTGGTATTCTGGAACCAAATGTTGAAGTAAGACTTGTTCTTGTTATTTCTATCTCCCTGTTGTCTTTTGTTCATTGCTTTATGGAAAGGGAGAGTGTTAATGCACGAAGAGTGATGTCGTGCTATGTTATGAGAGAGTAAAAGCACGAAGGGTGATGTCGTGCCATATTGTGAGTGTTAATAGCACGAAGGGTGATGTCGTGCCATGTTATGAGAGTTAATTCACGAAGGGTGATGTCGTGCCATTTCTATTGATTATATGGTGAGGTTGAGAGTAAAAGCACGAAGGGTGATGCTGTGCATTTTTCTTTACTGTGTTTACTTGTTATTATTGGTTCAAGGTATATTGGTTGATCAAGTTCTCATTACTGTTGTGATTCTCTATCTTGTAATCCCCTCAGCATGTCCCCCTTATGATATTACTTGTCTATCTTTTACTTGCCGTTACTTGTACCTATACTGCTAAATTGCACAAGTTTATTATGTGGGTGTCTTGTCATTGCCTCGTCACTACTTCGTCGAGGTTAGGTTCGACACTTACCAGTACATGGGGTCAGTTTTATTGATACTACACACTACATTTCTGTGCAAAATTTGGTACTGGCCCGAGCTGATTATGAGGTTAGCCGCTGGATTGATTAACCAGAGACGCAAGGTAGATCTGCTGGCGTCCACAGACCCTGGAGTCTCTCCCTAGTCTTAATGTTTTTACTGTTTCTTTTCCTTCAGAACAGTGATTTTCCTTTCAAACTCTGTTTGTAGTTAATCGTAGTAGCTCGTAAGTTGTGACTCCAGATCCTAAATGTTTCAGATATTTCGGGTTATATGTTATTCCGCAAAGCTGTTTTAGATTATGTTTAGCTTGACCGTTCTTATTATTGAAATTGGTTCAAGTTGGTATAAGAATCCTTTAACGTTAGGTTGCCTAGCAAGTGAAATGTTAGGCGCCATCACGGTCCCGATGGTGGGAATTCTGCATCGTGACAAGTTGGTATCAGAGCACTAGGTTGCCTAGGTCTCACAATTCACGAGCAGGCTTAGTAGAGTCTGGAGGATCGGTACGGAGACGTCTGTACTTATCTTCTAGAGGTTATAGAGTTTAGGCACAAATTTAACTTTCATTCTCCTCTGTCATGCCATTTTGGTTCTCTCATTGCTAATTGTACTCTTCTACTCTTGTTTTTTGCAGATAGCAAGAACAGTACTGCATCTTCAGCTGAGCAGCAGCCAGAGCCCCTAGTGGCAGCTCCTACGAGGGGCAGAGGTCGTGCCAGAGGCCGAGGCAGGGGCAGAGCTCAGCCTAGAGCTCGATCAGCAGCACCAGCAGTGAAGCCTCAAGTGGAGTTTGACGAGGAGGTTCTGGCCTATGTTGTGCCTGTCGGACCAGCTCAGGTCCCGAAGGGGTTCATCGCCACCCCAGAGCTTCAGGATGCTTTGGTCCGTTTAGTGGGCTTTATGGAGAGTGTGACCCAGGCCGGTACATTCCCTATGGCACCAGCCATCTCTCAGGCTAGGGGAGGAGCACGGAATCCCGTTACTCACACTCCAGAGCAGATAGCTCCCTAGTTTCAGACTCCAGTAGCCTAGCCAGTTGGGATAGTTCAGTCGGGTGTTGCGGCACAGGCTGGTGATGGATCAGCTATGTCTTCTGAGGCTTTATGGAGGTTGGACAGGTTTACTAAGCTCTTTCCAGTTCGCTTCAATGGTGCATCTTCAGAGGACACCTAAGATTATCTTGACAACTATCATGAGGTGCTACGGAACATGGGCATAGTGGTGACCAAATGGGGTCGATTTTGTTGCATTTCATTTGTCGGGTTCCGCCAATAATTAGTAGAGGGATTATGTGTTGACCATACCAGCTGGGTCGCTTGCTCTTACTTGGGACCAGTTCTCTCTGCTATTTCTTGAGAAGTTCCTTCCTATCACTTAGAGAGAGGACTACCGGAGGCAGTTTGAGCGTCTTCAGTAAGGCTCTATGCCTATCACTCAGTACGAGACCCGATTTGTGGATTTTGCCCGTCATGTTATTCTTCTGCTTCCTACCGAGAAAGAGAGGGTGAGGAGGTTTATTGAGGGACTTGCTCAGCCTATCAAGTTGCATATGGCCAAGGAGACTGGGAGTGAGATTTCTTTTCATATGGCTGCCAATGTTGTTAGGCAAGTCGAGATGGTTCTAGCTCAGGGGAGTGGTCAGGGGTCTGACAAGAGGCCTCGTCACTCCGGTGGATTCAGTGGAGCCTTATCTGGAGGCCAGGGTACTTTCGGTAGAGGCCATCCTCCCAGGCCGTTTCATTCAGCACTCCAGGCATCCCACGGTGCTTCAGGTGGTCGTGGCTCTCATATGCCTTATTCCGATCAGCTAGCTTACAGTACACCACCAGCTCCTATTAGTGCATCTCTGCTCCAGAGTTTTCAGGGTGGTTACTCAGACTAATAGGGTCAGTTTCTAGGTCAGCAATCACAGCAGCCGAGGTCTTGTTATACTTGTGGTGATCCGAGGCACATTGCTAGATTTTTCCCTCGAGCATCGAGTAGTTCTCAGCATCAGGGTTCTCGTGCCATGGTTCCGGCACCAAGTGCTTCACCGCCTGCTCAGCCAGTTAGGGGTAGGGGACATGCAGCTAGAGGTGGAGGTCAGGCCATTAGAGGTGGAGGTCAGGCCACTAGAGGTGGAGGCCAGCCAGCCAGGGCCCGTTCTCGAGATGTAGTTCAGAGTGGTGGAGCCCAGCCCCGATGCTATGCCTTTCCAGCCAGGCCTGAGGCTGAGTCATCTAACGCGGTTATCACAGGTACAGTTTCAGTTTGCATTAGAGATGCCTCAGTTCTATCTGATCCGGGTTCTACTTATTCCTACGTGTCATCCTATTTTGCTCATATTTGGTTATGCCTCGTGATTGTTTGAGTGCTCCTACATGTGTGTCCACACCCGTGGGTGATACTATTATTGTAGATCGTGTTTATCGTTCGTGTGTGGTTACCTTTGAGAGTCTTAAGACTCGTGTAGATCTCCTACTTCTCGATATGGTTGATTTTGATGTCATTTTGGGAATGGATTGGCTGTCACCTTATCATGCTATATTGGATTGTCACGCCAAGACAGTGACCTTAGCCTTGCCGGAGTTGCCGCAATTAGAGTGGAGAGGGACTCCTGGCCATTCTACCGGTAGGGTTATCTCGTATGTGAAGGCTCGGCATATGGTCGAGAAGGGGTGTCTAGCTTATTTGGCTTATGTCCGCGATTCTATTGCGGAAGTTCCTTCCATGGATTCAGTACCGGTTGTTCGTGAGTTCCTAGAGGTGTTTCTTGCATATCTGCCGGAGATGCCACTCGACAGAGATATCGACTTCTGTATTGATTTGGCTCCGGTCACTCAGCCCATTTCCATTCCGCCATACCGTAAGGCCCCGCCAAAGTTGAAAGAATTGAAGGAGCAATAGCAAGATTTGCTTGATAAGGGCTTCATTAGACCTAGTGTCTCGCCCTGGGGTGCGCCCGTGTTGTTTGTGAAGAAGAAAGATGGATCAATGAGGATGTGCATAGATTATCGGCAGTTGAACAAAGTCACCATCAAGAACAAGTATCCATTGCCGAGGATTGATGACTTATTTGATCAACTTCAGGGTGCCAATGTGTTTTCAAAGATCGATTTGAGGTCTGGCTACCATCAATTGAGGATTAGGGCATCCGATGTCCCTAAGACAGCTTTTCGGATCCGCTATGGGTATTATGAGCTCCTAGTGATGTCATTTGGGCTGACAAATGCCCCAACAACATGTATGAATTTGATGAACCGGGTGTTCAAGCCCTATTTGGATTCTTTTGTGATTGTGTTTATTGATGATATCTTGATCTACTCTCGCAGTCGAGAGGAACATGAGTAGCATCTTCGGATCGTTCTCCAAACTCTGAGAGACAGCCAATTATATGCTAAGTTTTCAAAATATGAGTTTTGGTTGAGCTCAGTCGCTTTCTTGGGGCACGTTGTGTCAGCAGAGGGTATTCAAGTGGATCCTAAGAAGATTGAGGCAGTTAAGAACTGGCCTAGACCCACTTCAGCTACAGAGATCCAGAGTTTCTTGGGATTGGCGGGCTACTACTGTCGGTTTGTGGAGGGGTTCTCATCTATAGCAGCCCCGTTGACCGGGTTATCCAGAAGGGCACCCCGTTCAGATGGTCAGACGAGTGTGAGGCGAGCTTTCAGAAGCTCAAGACGGCTTTGACTACGCGGTGTTGGTGTTGCCCACAAAATCAGGGCCCTATACAGTATATTGTGATGCATCTCGTATTGGACTTGGTGTGGTATTGCATGTTGTTCATTATGAATAATGTTATGGCATTATATTTATAAATATTAATTTATTTTATCAACATGAATTCCATGATATTTACAAAACATACGTTTTTAGTTTTGTAAGTATCTAAATTAGATATTATTAATTTAGAATATATATAAATTATTTTTACAATATTAATTATAAATATATGATTACTAATTAGTGTATATTCACGAAAAATATACATCTTAAATTCCAAGTATAATATCATTTATACTTATAAAAATTTATAGGCATATATTTATTATATTAACTTGTAGGTTTTGATAATTACTATATTTAAAATATTATTTAACTGTGTAATTACACTTGTGCATTCAAACAGTAAACTTGTAATTACACTATGACAAACAAACATATCATCGTAATTACACAACTCTGTAATTACTAGGCTGTGTAATTACTACCCACCAATTCCAATTACCTGGTGACTTTACAAACATACCCTTAATTTGTTTCATATTATTCCATAACAATATTATATTATTAAAGCGTAATTTTTACTTAACTCTAGTAAACTTGCGAGCAAACAAAACTGACTCTTGCCAAAATATCTGCGTTGCTATAGTAGAATATCCTAAAAAGGGGTGCAGTGCACAGTTGGTACATATATTTATTTATGGGATTTGTTTTTTTTTTTTTTCAAATAGTACATTTATTCTTTGAGTCTGCTTCTGTCTCTTCATCAGCCTTTTCCCAATAACATATTCTCTGACCGCCTCCTCGAAATTTTCTAGTGTCTCGTGCGTAACTTCTGCTTCTCAGTCTGTATAGAATCCCAGAGTACCTTCAGAAGATCGGCGTCCGATTTTGAGGGGCCAAATATGGAAGCAATTCATGAGATAGGAAATTCGCCACCGCCTTTTCTGTGCAAGACTTATGATATGGTGGACGATTTGTCGACGGATTCAGTGGTGTCGTGGAGTAAGAGTAATAACAGCTTCGTCGTCTGGAACGTGCTGGAGTTTTCGAGAGATATTTTGCCCAAGTATTTTAAGCACAATAATTTCTCCAGCTTTGTTAGGCAGTTGAATACTTATGTAAGTACTAAAATTCCTCTTTGTTTCCTCGCTCTTTATCCCAGTTTATGCTTTTGCTTGTGAGGTTGGTGTCTGTAACAATTTGCTTAAACCCTATAGCTTAAACCCTATAAGAAAAGCATTTTTACTAACATTGATTTTGTTTCTGAAATTCGCCAATTTGGATTGAGGCACATTAGATTGATGCGTAATTTTTCTTTTTTTAAAAATATCGTTATGTTTCTGAGTATGTATAGATTTTCTCTGCTCATTGTTTTAAATGTTTTTATTTAGGTCGCTTGTGTTTCTAGCTGTCACTATGATATACGCTTATTTGTTTTCTATATTTTTTTTATATCCTCTTCTAAAAAAAATTATATTCTATTTGAAATGATTATATATAAGTAGTACATTCAGTTGGAAAGATGCAGCAAACTTCAGCAAATAGGCAAAACTTTCTATCTAATTGGAATATAATATGAAGTTTCATCTGATTTAGTACATTATTTTCGGATCAGTTCTATGGGGTACTTGTCCTTACTTCATTTCAGTTTGACTGATTTTTTATTAAGAGTTAATGAGAAGCTCTCTGATCCTATCTGCACAAGCCACACTCTTGTTTAAATCAAATCAGAAGTTGTCTTTGGTGCTGAAATATCAGTTGATACTTTGATTTGAAAGCTTATTCCCTTTTTAATAGTAAATTATTTGGTAGGGTCTCATCAGGGGCATAGCAAATTGATGACTGTTACTTTAATTCGAGAAGCAGTTGTAGAGTTGATAAACCTGATTTTATCTCCCAGAAGTTTATGTTTAGGGGCAGCGTTTGTTTTAAATTATAGGAAAATAAACGGTAATTTCAGTGTTTGGTGTGTTTTGGGAAGCTTGGTTTAGGGGCTTATAATTCTTTCTCATGGTATAACTGTATTCCACAGTGAAGGTGGGTCAAAAAGTGTGCCATGAGGAAAAGGGTTGCTTTTTTCTGCATTGCTATTTCTATCTCTCCCTTCTATCCTATCCGTCACACGTTAACCCCCAGGTCTCGCCACCTACTGTCCCACCTCCATGCTATAGAAGTTAACCCACAATAAAGGGACACTTTACCCGCTCGCTAATCTTGCTCTCCCGCTCAATCCCGTTTGCCACCCACTAACCTCCTCTTATTTGTTTGTCATATGATTCTGTTCCTAACAATCGCTAATCCTAGCATTCTGATCATTGCTAATCATGTCTGCAGAATAACTGATTTCAAGGCATCACATGTAGTGTAACTATGTGACATTTTAACCATTTTCTCCATGTTTCAAGGTTCAAAGGAATAAATCGATGACGGGAGATGGGAGTCTCTTTTAATTACGATGAGGGAATAATTTTCTTGTGTATTGCAGTTAATACAGTCTTGTCACTCGCTGTTATCTCTGTGTTTTGGTTATAAGTACTCTTTGTATATATTGGCAACCTTAATCCTTTTTACAATTTGCTCTGCCCTTTCGTCAACCAGGGTTACAGGAAGGTTGATCCAGACTGCTGGGAATTTGCAAACGAGGGATTCCTTAGAGGCCACAAACACCTCTTGAAGACCATAAGTAGGCGAAAACCGTCTCAAATGCAGGTCCATCAGGACACCGCCTCCCAAGTGCAAAGTGTATCTGCTGAGTCTTGTGTTGAAGTTGGGAAGTTTGGAATAGAAGAAGAGGTGGAAAGGCTTAAAAGAGATAAAAATGTTCATATGGAGGAGCTAGTCAAGTTGAAACAGCAGCAGCAGGCAACAGACCACTGCTTAGAGAATGTTGGGCAGCGTCTTCATTTAATGGAGCAAAGACAACAGCAAACCATGTCATTCCTTGCTAAGGCCTTGCAGAGCCCTGGCTTTATAGCCGAACTTATTCATCAACAGAATGAAGGTAACAGGCGCATTCCTGGGATGAAAAAGAAGAGGAGATTTCCCGACCAGGAAGAAGAAATTTATGCAGGCAAGCCTGTCTGTACTATGCATGACAGGCAGATAGTCCGTTACCAGCCTCTAATGAATGAGGCAGCAAAAGCATTGCTGCAGAAGATCCTGAAAACTAATGCATCTGGTAGGCTGGAAACCAAAGTTAAGAATACAAATGGTTTCTTGACTAATCATGGCCATGCTTTCGAAAATACATTAGACAGTGCTGGTATATGCAGTCGTACTGCTGGGGTTACCCTTCCACAACTGCCAACTTCTTCACAATCTCATCTGACGCTGGATTCAGGATTTCCATTCAACTCTAATTTATCTGCCATTCCTGAGATCCAATATTCCCCTAGTCTGGTTCCCGTGGAAGCCAAAGTCCCTCACTTTCCTGGTTTAAATGCACTTAACTTTCAGACAGACCATGTTCTGCCTGAAGTTTCAGAAGGATATGGGATAAATACACTGGACAATTTTGGAATAACTGACCTTAAGCGGTTGGGAACTGGGGATTTGCCAGACATTGACAGAATACAAGGCATTGTGGATGGTGTAACATCAGTTCTCCCTGATAGATTTTCCACAGATACTGATATTGATATCTTTTTGGACGAGATGTCTAAGCTTCCAGGCATTAATGACATTTTCTGGGATCAGATTCTTTCGGCAAGCCCTCTCACTGGGGATAAGCATGAGATTGGTTCCCTAGCATTAGAAGATGGTTTAGCGAAGGAAGACGATGTTCCAGGAATTCAAGAGAGTGCTTTTGATAAAAAGAAGCATATGAGTTATCTTACTTAAGAGATGGGGCTCCTTGCATCAGGCACAGTGGATGGAATCGAGAATTTTATTTGAATCCCGAATACATCAAAGGTAGAATTTTCGTTACTTATTCACTATGATGAGCTTATCGCTTTGACAAATTGTTTCAAACTCTTATGTTTTTTTTTTAATTTTTATTTTGATTTTCATACAGATATGGCTTTTTAAGACCAAAGTTTTCCAATTCTGGCATATGCCAAAAAATTTTGCATGCATAACTCAACAAAGAGGAATTTTCACTTTTCTTTTTATCTCAGCATTCTGCATTATATGGATGTCTGACTGACTCGAGGTGAGTCGGGTTTCAGTATTTCTCCAATTCCTTATAGGGCCTTCTATTCTTCGGTTTAGTGTTACGAGTATGTTTTAATCTTTGTAATATTGTAATTTTGCTTTGAGCACAGCTGCTAAAACCAGTGGTAAGCTTGAAGAGAGTGAGGGCTTTAAGTTGTTCATTGTGTTTGTATGGTTTTTGTCAGGTTGATGTTCTGTACTGGTAGACAGCACCAAGGTTTTCCGAGAGACTGGTCTTCACCATTGATGAAGTTTTGAGTAGAAAAAAATGTTATCTGCTTGATGCATTTTGATTAAAACACTTTGAGCATATTTAATTATAGTTCCGCTCACTGATCGTCACTCCATATGTCTGTATATCAATTTTTTTTTAACATAATGGAATGACAGTAGGGATTTGATGGAGATGTAGGCATTAACTTTCAGGAAATTACGATATCATAAAGTTGCAGATATGATGAGCTTATCAGTCGTGAACATTTTTTCCTTTCCACTTGTTATCAGATTACTGTTGGTCGCACGGAACATCTGAAAGTGTTTGTGGTCGTTTATCGTTTGCAGCCATCAATTTGGTTAGATTTCTCATTATTTTATGAGAAATAAAGGAAGTAGCTTACTTTGCGCGTGTTAAAAGGTCTGTTTATGGTTTAAGTGCCCAGCTTATGATTACTTCTCAGTTCGTGACGATTGAATACAGGTATATCCAGTGAAATGGTTGTTCAGCTCTAGCGTGTCGTATGGATTTCTAATGAGAATAACTTTTGGTTTCTTTTCCTCTCAGTCAAGTTGTTCGAATTCAACTGGTCCTAATTTTCTTGCTTTCTTATCAAATTCTTTCTTTTAATTTGAAATCCTTGGTTTTTATTTTTATTTTACTTTTTCGTTGGAGGGAGGGAGTGGTGGGTTTGCAATTATGTTGGGCAAAAGGTTGCTTGGCCAGTAGGCAACTAATGAAAAGTTAAATCCCCGTCAGTGTGGTACTGATCAAGCACGTTAAGCTGAAACGTCGCTTTAACATGTTTGAGGTCCTACATTTTGTGGTAAAAAGGCTTTGGGCTGGGATAGACAGAGAGCTACACAATGTTTGATGGAAGACTAAGGACCCATTTGCCGTAGATTTTTTTGGCAAATACATGTTCGGCCATAGATTTTATCTACATTTTGGCAAATTTTCAAAACCCAAAATCCAAATTCCAAGCCCAAAATACCACTATTATAATTTTTAAAAATTGCCCCGTACTTTTGTATTTTATAAAAGAGCCCACCATTTTTTATTTTGTAACAATGATGTTTCGTCTTCTTGGTCATCTGATAGTGAATAATATAGTTCATTATAACAATGATGATTTTGTACTAAATTTATTTATATTCAGGACTATGATTTACAATAATATAATGAATGTTATTGATGAAGGTACTGTTGGGTATTTGTGATAGTTTTTAAAACTTGTGGGTATAAGTCATGTTTCATGTTTTTTTTTTTTTAAAAAAAGTGAAATATGTTTTGAAAACTTATGTCCAAACACATTTTCATCTTCAAATCAAACTTTACCCAAATCAGATTTTTCAAAACAAGTTTGGGAATCTATAGCCAAACGCTAGCTAAATATCCACTTTGGTAACAGAATCAGTTGTGATAAATATCAGTTTTGTCGTCTGAATGCTATTAGAAAGGATCAATTCCAATAAGTATTTGGTTTTCCCTGCCTTTCCTTAGGCGTTGGTATGTGTTTTGTTTGTATGTTGAATCAATTGATTTTTGCCATCGTTGAAAAAGCCAGTCGGGTGAACTAAGCTCTTGCTCACTATCTCTCCGAAGTATTAAGAAAAATCGGTTTCAATATACTTGCTAATGTGATTCTCAAATACCAATTTACAACTGTATCTGGATAACTGAAACAAAATAAAGTGGGTGAATGGAGAGTGTCCGAAGTCTATAAATTTGTTTTACTGTACATGTGCAGCTTGAGATGATGTACATGCCCATCGGAACTCCTTCATACACTAATGAGATGAAAAAGCTACTCTACAACATTTCAATTAAGCAATTTAATGGAAAATCCTTTATGCTAGCACCAGTACGATACGATTGTAATAAGCAGGATGACCCCAATTATGACCACCAACAAACAGCCCTGCAAAGAAAATTACCGAAGCTGAAGGCAAGGCATCAGCTAAATAGCTTAGGACTAGCTGCAATATAGACACTTACCATAGACGAATTACATTGTTGGATTTTCGATGCCTTGGTGAGTTGCTGAGCAGCTTGTGTAGTTGCATCATGAGAAGTCTGAATATTGGAACTGATATCATCTACAAGATGAGTTTAGGATGTTAGATCCATTAATAAGATAAGAATAGCTGGCAATTTTTTTAGTAAGAAGGACAAGTATGAAGAATGGAATAGAGATATTGGCTAACCGAGCATAATTCCTTGTTCATGGACCATTAACGCCAAATCCTTGAACATCTCATTCACTTCTCCAATCTGCTGTTGGATTTCCATTATTCCTTGCTCTCTTTCTTCAATAATGGCTTCATCTAAAAGAATCTCATGTTCCAAGTGTACGAGAGCTCCTGTCTGTAGTAAAGGAAGAAGGCCAGGTTCCACTATGAACAAATTAATGATGTATAATTTTTATGAAATTCATTTGTATAAGATAATTGAATTTACTTTCATCCTTTTTTTATCCGCCAATATTTGGATAAAGGGAAGTAAGTTTTTATTAGAATGGGGAATTCAGCATCAAAATAAGAGTAAAAACAACAACATGCATGGGTGTTGAAACAGTAGTTTCTTAATTACATGCATGATCAACCAACAGAACTGAAAACAATGCGCGCTTAATTACCTCCTAACCTTTTGGATTCCAGAAGGATAACAGAACGGCTCCCGGGCCTAGCTGATGAACTTATCTGAAGCTCTTGACTTCTGCAAAATGCAAATGTAAGATGTCATGATAAGATCACATGCTCGAAATCTAAGCAAAGTTTATCCTGTGGCATTGTGAAATTGGGGGATGATGGTATAACTGAGTAAATAGTACTAACATCAATGTTTGATCCTTATCAATGTTTTTTATAACTAGTCTGCAGGTTAAAGGGGAAGTGGAAATTCAAGTTTGACTGCTTTTTGAATTGTAAGCATGCAAGATGACATACAAAGAAGAATCATTAGGAATTGTTACCGGGATGGATTGATTTCGGGGGAAATGAAAGGAGTGTAAGCTGCTTCTCTGTGCTGCAAGTTGCTGTGACTTCTGAAACTTTTTAACAACAGATTGGAAATCCTTAGCAAGCTTACCATTAGCAATCTTCCCGGTGGCCTGAAGTAAAAAGAAAACACAGAACCTTATATTCCCAAAGACAGGCGCGGGTTCAGGAAAAATGCATCAACCACTCTCTTTTGACAGTTAATTATAGGGCCAAACTTCTAAATTCAGCTTATCTTGAGAAGTGTTTTTTCTTAAAACTACTTTTGGTGAGAAGCAATTTGTGTTTGACCAAGCGTTTAAGAAGTGTTTCTAAGTATATTTTTCTCGAAAGTGCTTTTCAAAAAAGTGTTTCTAGGGAGAAACTCCTTTTTTTTTTTTCTGGTTCTCCAAAACTACTTTTGCTTAACTTTTTTTTTTTTCTAAAAACTTGGCCAAATACTTCAAGTTTGAAAAAAAGGTGCTTTTTGGCCTTGAAGAAATTTGGCCAATCAGGCTACTAGTATAAACATGGAGTATATTTTTCTGACAAATTTGGACTAAATATAGAGGTCGAGTAGAAAGCAGTTGTAGTTTTGGTTGCACTTAATTGTCCATATGCATATAACATCCTTGGATGCATTTTTCTATTCTTAACCCAAAATTGAAAAATGAAAGTAGAAACAGCCAAAATGGACATACACTAGATTGAGAATGTTGGTCAGATTCAATGGCTTGCTTAAGCTCAGCTGAAGTTTCTCTTATCAATTCGCCAATTTTCTGCCTTGTTCCGTGGCTGCAGAAAAATCAACAAATAAATCCTGTGAGTATTAGTAGCAGCGTAATGCCACTGAGAGCTTAATCCCTGTGTTATGTGAGTAAGAACAAATTAAAGAATACAAGTCTTAACAGCTTGTGGCGGAATTGAAGAGTGTCATTGGGAGATCCGAGTGTATTAACGAGGCGTTGAAAAGTTGTGTGACTCGTGTTGATTTGAAACACTAAAGAGGCTACTATGGACTGATGATGATGATCAGAAGCACAAGGGATTGTAATGGTTTGTTTTGTTTGTCGTCCCCATAAATATGATCCACCTCCTCCTTGAACATATAGACACCTGCCTGAAGATTCAAGATCTTCAAAGCTCATGGCTGCCAACTAGATTATGTAGTGTGGGCTCTAGACAAAGTACTACTACACGCTCTCTGTGTGTGTGTGTGTTGAGAAAGAAATAAAATGAGAGATTGCTTTGGATTGAAAATGCAGTCTAATTTGCAAGAAAAAGAGCAGGGCGATGTACCGTGTAAGTAAAACTAGAGAGTACAAAAACGATAAATGAAGGAAGGTGCCTTACTGCCTTAACCTTACGCCTCTGCTCTTTCTTATTTTCAGTTTGTCTTTGGTTTTATCGTTTACTAAGTCTCTTCCAATTGGAGTGATTTGGAGAACACCAAGGGGTGTAATGGGATCAATGAATTCCTCCCCTCTTAATGCTTCGAATAAAAAAGTGTCTCCTAAGAGCACCTTTTTCTTAATTTGGCTTTACGCCGCGCAAATCTAAATTACTCAGATCAGTGGATTGCAGATATATTATATCAAAAAGAGTGATTTGGAGAGGTTTTCTTCCTTCTGTTTTTAGATAATTGGCATATGAGATAGTGAGACGTACTTATTTGTATTCAGTATTTGTATATGGTCAAATTCGGGCTCGCCCTTTTTGTATGACTGATCGAGACTGGAGCGTGATAAGCCAAGGTTCAGCCTCGTATTATATCGAACTATGATGCAAAGTTAGGTTGCCGAGCTCGTGGCCCTGAGACCGATTAAGACTGAGACGATTGAGATCGAGATCGACCAAGATCCAGATCGACCAAGATCGAGACCGAACAAGATAGAGATCGAGGAAAGCTTACCGAGTCGAATAATGGAAAGAAGAAATATCCGCAACCGGGGGAGGATCATGGCGCGAATCCCGGAACGTATCAAGAAGGGCCGATTAATTATCCAATCATGGGATTTCTTACCTCATATAGAATTGTACTTAGAGTAGGACTCTCCTACTATATAAAGGGAGTCTGATCATTTGTAAACATCATTATATTCATGAAAATCAAAGCAATATACTGTTGTTTTCTAGCTTTCATTATCTTGTTATTATGTTCATAAGCAAGTTGAAACATATTTGGTTCAAGGGTGACTGAACTCGAGCGCCGAAGCTGTTCAATTCGTTTGGTTTGCATTATTTCTTTCATCATTAATATCAATACTATTTTATTCTTCTTAATTTGTATCAAGTTATATCACGGGTCCTTAAAACCACGTATAAATTCAATTGTTATCCAATTTTAGGGTAAACAG